CTTAATTCATTTCTGAGGCTCAGGACACTGTAGAGGTACCTTGGAAGGAGTCATTTTGGAGATTCGGAGCCGCAGATCTCAAACTGGGGCTGCAGATATGTTTGGAGTACCAGGAACGGTCCAGGAGGAGGACCTGGCTGGGGTCTGAAGGCCTGCTCAGGGTGGGACAGTGAGGCTTGTCACAGGGGTCTGAACACAGCAGATGGACAAGGGCTGCAGAGCTCCTGTGACTCCTGGAGACGGTCACCCCTCAGGGCCATGGAGCAGGGTGTGAGAGCCACTCAGACCCTGAGGAGACAGCAGGAGGTGGCCTGGGTTGGGCCCCGAGAGGTCGTTCCCTCAGGACTAGGGCAGGAGTCGGGGGACATGGGTGTCTGGAGTTGTGGGGTGCCAGGGCTCTGTGCTGCTCGGGGCACGCCCTTCCCCTCCAGGGGAGGGTGTCCTCATGGAGGGGTGCCCTGGGGCTGGGGCGCCTGGCCAGTGCCGTGGTCTGAGCCTTGTCCCCGTGGCTCCTGCAGACAGCCTTCCCCTTGGTGATGACGCTCTTTGAGCTGGCTCGGAACCCCAATGTGCAGGAGGCCCTACGCCAGGAGAGCCTGGCAGCAGAGGCCAGCATCTCTGCAAACCCCCAGAGGGCCCCCTCAGAGCTGCCCCTGCTGCGGGCTGCCCTCAAGGAGACCTTGCGGTAGGTGCTGGCTGGCCCTCCCCACCGGCCCTGGCCCCTCTGCTCACTGGAGGTGGGAGGCAGGCATGAGCAGCTTTGCCTCAGAACCCAGAGCCCCTCAGCTCCTCCTGCTCTGCCTGAAGGGAGGGGTGCCCCTCTCCTCTGGGACTGCACTCCCAAGTCCCATGCACGACCGGCCACGTCCTCCTGGGCCCGGCTGCTCAGGCTGCTGGGGGCTCACTGAGCCTAGCAGGTGCAAGCAAGCACATGCTGTGAGCAGGGCTGCCGCACCCTCGGGGTCCTGGGTGGGCAGCAGACAGAGGGAAGAGGAGGGAGCTGTCCCCCTGAGGCCCTGCCTGTTGGTGTCCTACCCCCAGGCTCTACCCAGTAGGAAGCATTTTGGAGCGAACCACCAGCTCAGATCTGGTGCTTCAGAACTACCACATCCCAGCTGGGGTGAGTGAGCCCCGAAGGCCACCCCAGCAGATGGCCCCTTCCCACATCCCCTCGCTAGGCAGCTGACACCTCCCTGTACACCTGTCCGCAGACCTTGGTCCACATGCATCTGTACCCAATGGGCCGAAACCCCGCGCTGTTCCCCAATCCTGAGCGCTACATCCCCCAACGCTGGCTGGACAGCCAACTGCCCTTCCACCATCTGGCCTTTGGCTTCGGGGTGCGCCAGTGTCTGGGCCGGCGCTTGGCAGAGGTGGAGATGCTGCTTCTGCTGCACCACGTGAGTGGGCCTGGGAGGGGCTCAGCAGAAGGGTGTCAGTGGTGCCTGGGGGTGAGCGGAACCAGGAGGGGCCAGCGGGTCATGGAGCGGGGTGAGCAGCCCCCAACCCTCACCACTGGCGTGTGTACGTGACGGGGCGGGGTCTTCCCTGAGGGCGGGTCCTGTGCCCACTACCCCGCCAACCTGGGTGCGCTGGCTCCTGCTCCCTGCAGCCTGGTGGCTGCACTGAGCAGCTGGGCAGGAGACTAGGCAGGACCTGGGCCTGCTGCCCAGGCCACAGGGAAGTCCCTCCTCTGTCCTAGGTGCTGAAATCCTTCCAGGTGGAGACACTAGTCCAGGAGGATGTGAAGCTGGTGTACCACTTCGTTTTGAGACCCGCCTCCTGTCCCCTCCTCACTTTTCGGCCTGTCAACTAGTCACATCTGCGCACTGAGGGTGCCAGCCCCACCACCAGCCTCCCTCTGCCCTGACCCCAGCCCACCTCTCTTCTGTCCCAAGGGCTCTGCTTCCTGGGCCCCAACACGGTCCAGCCAGCCCCTGGCCCAGTGGACTGGCCCAAGCTCCAGGGCAGGACAGGACTTGCCGGGCTGTGCAGCAAAGCCAGGACGCACTGAGGAGGATCTTGGTGGCAAGTCCAGGCTTTGTTGCCAGCCTCACCGAGCAGTCTGCTGGGACATGTTCCGCAGCCCGCTTGGCAGCAGCTCCTGCTCCTCCTGGCCATCAAGTGGCCTCTGATGATGCCTCCCCCCATTGGTTTCCTGTGCAGCCCCATTTTCCCTGTCCTCTTATACTACCCCCCCTTAATGTATGTGCATGATTTGAGAGACAGGAGGAGGAACCCAGCATCTGAGGGATCAGGTTGACCTCATTTTTGGCCTCCATTCCGCAGCAGCTCATGAGTGAAATAGCTCTGCACACCCATCACCATGGAGCATCACCTGTAGTGCCTAATGCAATATCCTCATGGTGGCTTAACCCTGCACATTCCCATTGGCGAGGATAGAAATCTGAGTCTGAACAGGATGTAACTGGACATGTCACCAGTGTCAGTTTCTGGATTCAAAAGTGACATAACAAGATATCTCTTCCCCTGTGGGCAGAACGGAGCAGTGGCACAGCCACTTTGAGAAACTGCCTTGCTATTCCTCCAGGAGTATATGTGGAGGTCCTAGCAGACCCTACATCTTCACCCTAGGCTTGTACCCAGAGGGCCCAAGGTCACATGAGAGCTTCTGTAGCTGTTGATGGTAATGTTACAAAGGTGCAGAAACTCCAGTGTCCATCAGAAGGGATCCACAAAATATGTGTGGCATTCATCCAGTGAGACATGACTCAGGCATAAAAGTGAAGAACTAGCACATCTGCATGGGTGAGCCCTGAAAACACCATGCTAACCGGAAGAAGTGGGTGACACAATGTCACACGTTATAAACTCCATTCCTAGCACATGTCAGGATTGGAAACCCATAGATAGAAAACAGGCAGCACTGGTGGCCTGGGTGGGTAATGGGTGTGGTGTTTATTTTTGAGGTCACATAAGTGTTCCAAACTGGACTGTGGTGATGACTGGTGAATCTGTGAATGTACAAAACATTCCTCAATTCTACACAGAATTGGTGGGTTGCATGGTGTGTGATAACATCTCACTAAAGTTACAGAGCATAAGAAGTGCCTAGAGGAACAAAAGCAGCTCACCTGATGAAACCACAGAGGAATTCCTGAATTTGCAGGGAGGCAGAAAAGAGCAGCAGCCTCACTGCAGAACCTGAGGACTTGCAGGGAAACCAGCATTCAGGCACGTTTCCAACCAACAGCATTTTCCTTTATTTTGCTCTTACAACAAGGCATGAAGGGGCCAACGGGAGGCCTGACACAGCGTCTCCAAGAGAGAACAGCAGCATTCTGAGCAACAGGGGAAGATGAATGGACCTCCAAGAGGCCATCTCAAGTCACTGTATTACTGACGATGATAGAAGCAAAGCTCAGGAAAAATTTTGGTTCCCCCAAATATGCAGACCCTTCTAGTAGATCCTCCTCAATTATTTCCTTACCAGTGGTTCCTTCTCCACATTAGAAGGTTCTCCAAAATTGCATGTCATCCCACTACAACATTGAATAAATCGAAGCTGTTAATCCTCTGGGTTGTTGTGGACTTTTTGGCAGCTGGTCTACTTCATGTACAACACGCAGTTCAAAGTACAATTCTTGAACATGAGTAATTTATGAGAGTTCAAACATGAAAAGAAGAAGAGTTGGAAATTATTGCGTTCACATGTTCTGACTGTACACAGAGCACATTCAACATGACAGGACTGTACAAGTTCCAACATTCCCAAATGTTCCAACATTGTGTTGCCAAGAATTTGAGACCAAGAGAGAATATTCAATTTCATGAGAGGATCTGAATGATCCACAAGAAAATTCTTCTAAAGGCATCTTTCTCTCCATGGCCAGGCTGCCATTGGCCCTTCAAATGGCATCTTGGTACTTTGCATGTAGGTATACAAATTAAATGTTCTGCTCATTTTTTTTCTAAGTGTTCTAGAGCTCTAGAAAGTAAGGAAGACCAGAAACCATTCTCTACTGACAACCAGTGACTTCTCTGCCGTTAACACCGTGACCTGGGTTGAAGTGGCATGCCCCTTAAGGGGGAATGGGGCCCCAGGCCTGTGTTCTCCTGGGTTTCTGGTTTTTGTTTTATTGTTGTTGTGATGGTGGTGGATGGTTAGTTTTATGTTGTGTGTGTCTGTGTGTGTGTGTGTGTGTGTATGTTTGTGTGCACATACACACAATGAACTTCCTGGCAATGACGTGAGCAGTTTTGGTCCTCCACCTGCTCCTGAGGCTCAGCCCCAGGCTCAACCAGTCATGGACTGAAACCTATAAACCTGTGAGCCTAAATAAACCTGCGTCCTTATGATTATGTGAGGTATAGGCTACAATGACAGGAAGTTGACTCAAACCAGGTCAAGTGCTGTAGAAGGCCACCATGCCTGCGCAGACTACTGGTCTCTGCTTCACTCCACCCTACAAATGTCATTCAGGTTTCTCCCTTTGCCAGTTCTAGTGCAGCCACACCGGGATGCAGATCCTCAGAAAGCATCGGCCAGTCTCACTTGCAACAATAGTTGAGAAATGACAACACATGACCCATCAAGGTCCCCATCAGTGGCCCACCACAGTGACAAAGCCAGATTCTCAGACTCCTGCTGTCCCAACTCAGCACATCACCACAGTGTGAGGGCACTTGGTCCAGTGAAGAAGGGGCAGTCTGGAGGTCTTTACACCCAGCTCGGGAAACAGAAAGGCACCTGAAGCTGCAGAAACAAACTCAGGTGGGGGAAGACAGCAACCAGAGGAAGAGTCCTGAACAGGGCCTAGACAAGACCTCCAGCTGTCTGTCACAATCCCACAGACTGCCTGCCTCTGGGTCCCTGAGCCTCTGGCCACATGGGTCTCACAGTAATGCCCTGGGGAGACGCACACCTGCCTCACAGCACCAGAGGCCTGCAAGGACCCCACACCCGGCACACGACCAGAATTCAAATGACGATCCACCAGGCTACACTGAGGTATCTACATACAGGAGCAGGGAGGCCCCAGCGAGAGACCTGTAGTCCAGCAACATTCCTACCGTTGAAGACACGACGGGTGTGGAGTCTGCTCCCCCTCTCCACAGCTACTGCACAAGCTGGTGCACAGTGCCCTACGTGAGGCCTGGCAGGACCTGGGAATAAGTCCTCGGGGCAGGGCGATACCAGGAGAAGGAAGTAGGTCAGGGTGCAGAAAGAAAACCATACAGACTCCACTCCCCAAACCACTCAAGCCAGATGATGGACCACAGGTGGGAAAAGAGCACAGGGACACTTACGTGCAGCTACGGTCATACAGCGTCTATGGTCGTATAAGCATGTCCTGAGCTTCGAGCACTCAAATGTGTTTTCAGCCACACATTCATGGCACTGCACGTTGAAGGTCCCTGAGGGAGGGAAAGCAGGCACTGGCCTTCTGCCCCAACGTATCCTTCCACCCATTACCATCTCGTCTTCCCCCATGCAGTAGCTGGCCCTGCCCTCTCTCCCAAAGACTTGCCTGAGCCTGCACAGCTTGGTCTCAATGCAGTCCCAGCCTGGCCAAGACCTGCTCCCAGGAGGGAAGCCAGGCCAACCTAGGAGCCTTCCCTCTTCTCAGGAAGACATGCGGGGACCATGAGCTCTGCAGAGGGGCCCACCTCTCCAAGGAAGTCTGGACGCTCCCCTAAGAAGCCAGCAGGTTCCTGGATTTCCTTGGACACTGCTGTCCTCTCTTGCTGTCCCTAATGGGCAGGGTCACCTCCAAGCTCCCCCTCAGGTCTCCGGGTCAGCTGCTCTTTGAGGGAAGCCATCCTTCCTCCTTTCTCTCCCCTGCACACCAACACAGCCCAATTGGCCCTCAATTCTCCCCAACAACACTGACAATGCACACCACAGCTAGCTCAGATGGCCAAATTCCTGCCACGTCCTCCTGGGACCCCGGGCCACTCTAGGAGAATCCATATGCCCTCCATGTCTCAGAAGAGATGATACTTACAAGTAGCTGGAACAGCTTTGGTCACGTTGGTAAAATTGGATTCCACAAGTGGGAGCCCCACAAAGAGGAGCAGGAACAAGGGGAGCATCATATAGGGCAGAAGCTTGGACCTGAAAGTGAAGAGACCCACAGCCAGTCAGCGAGAAGCCGGCTCCCAGCTCCACTTCACGCCCCCAGCATCAACCACCACAGGAGTCTCCCCCCTCCCGCCTTCCTCACAGGCCCTCCTCCCCCCAGAACTGGAACCTATCAGAAGAATCAAACGGATATTCCTAAACCAAGAGAAGCAAAATATTTGAAATTTAAAATTCACCTGGACGCCACTAACAGCCCACTGGACTCGGAAAGAGGAAACAACAAACGTGATACAGGCCTATGGAAAGTGTCCACACGCTAGCCAGAAAGAGAAAAAGGCCAGAGTGCATAGCAGCTGAAAGAGGAGCTGCATCCACGCGAGTCAGCTGTGTAGCCCACACGCAACTGGATTTGCACAAGGAGAAGACACACATGGAGGGAGCAAGCGTTGGAAGGACCACTGGTACCGAAATGTCCCAATAGCAGTGAAAAGCATCACCCCACAAACTTAAAAAGGGCCAGTGGATCCACAGCAGAGGAAGTCCAAGGAAACCCAGTCTCAGACACATCACACACAAACCACCAAAAACTACCGGAAAAGGTGAGGGGCCGCGGGAGGGGGAAACAGCAATAATTCAAGTGGTGGCTGACCTTCCCACACAGACCGGCAAGTGCTGAGCAAGCACGCCAGAGTCTGCAAGGGCAAACAGACTTCAAAAGAGAAGGCCAGATGGAGACCGCGACCGAGCAGGAGTGAGGGGCAGGAGTGAGGGGCAGGAGTGAGGGGCAGGAGTGAGGGGCAGGAGTGAGGGGCAGGGCTCCCGGGCGACCTGCTACGGGAAATCTTGAGATGTGACCCTTTACAAGGACCCCCAAAGTCAGCCAGAGCCCAAGCAGAGGAGGCTTCAGAATGGAGAGGAGTGGCTGGGGCCAGCTTCCAGGCCCAAAGGATTACAGAGGTCAAAAGGCAGGCTGGTGACAGCAGAAAGCGACGGTGGAACCCTGAGTCCACTTTCTGACTTCAGCTACAGGAAGCCAGAAGCTGCTCACCAAAGGAGAACTAGGACTTCCTCCTGCTTGGAATTGAAGGGGACACTTCAAATAATAGGTGGCCCAGATCATGCCCAGTGGAAGGCATGCCTGCTGTGCACTGGCTGGTGGTGAAAGCAGGAGGGACTCAGAGCTAGCCTCAGCAGCCTGGAGGGCCCAGAGGGAAGAGCAGGCTCAGAGGCGTGCTGGTGGACCAGTTTCCACTTGAACAGGCATCAGTGGACCCCATAATGAGCCAGGAAGGGAAAGGGGAAAGATCAGGTGGCCACTGAGAAGTCCAGGCTTTTGGAGATCCAGGATGATTTGGGCCACAGGAGAGGAGGCCAAGGTCAGGAGCAGAAGCTCCCGTGGGTGGGGCTCCAGGAGGAGGGGGCCTCTGCCCACTGAGGGAAGGGACTAAAGGACAAAGGGGTGAGGAGAGGGAGAAGCCATGAGAAAGTGGGCTCAATCCTGAAGGAGGGTCTCGGGACTAGAGTGTCTCTGAGGTGACACATTGGAACACTGAGAGCATCTGCTCAAAGGGGTCTAGGGGACCGCAGGTCTAAGGACTAGAGTGGACCCCTGTGTGGGTCCAGGGCCCTGGGTGTGTCAGGGGTTTCTGAGAGGAGGCTCGCCAGGCCTGGAGGGTGGGAAGGAACCAGAAGAGCCTGGATGGGGTCCAGGGGAGGACAGGAGGGGGAGGTCCTACAGGAGAGAGGACGCGGCCTTGGGAGTGGGCAGTGTGGACAGGAATATCCCACACAGCTTGGCACCATGATGAGAATACAAATAACTGGGACAGAAGCAGACCCCAAGCAGATCAGCACGCTTTCCTGTCTGCAGCGAAGTCAAGCCATCAGCACAGGAGGGCTCATTTTCTGGGTATAGGAATGGCCCCCAGGTAGGAGAAGGAGTCTAGGCTTTGTAGTTTATGGTGAGGGTGAATTAATCACTGGACACTGCGAGCATGCTGTCTGGACACTTGGGGACCTCGTGGTTCAGGTTAAGATTTTAACTCAGGAAAGCAGCTGTGAAAAGTCTGAAACTCACTGTCACTAGGAAAAGCTCAGAACTGTGTTCAGTGCTCATCTTCCTTCCTCTGGGACCCACCGTTACCTAGAGGGTCACTGTTCCTTTTCTCCTTCAGGACTCATCTGCAATGGGAAAGCGTCAAAGTCCAGGGCCCAGCATTTCAGTATTTGCCTCCTGCCTTCAGGGCCCTCTGGGCCTGGGAAGGGGCGAATGATTGCTTTTGCTCTAGGGGCCCTTGTCACTGGGAAAGGATGTACTGCTGGGAGAGGGTGACTGTTTGGCTAACTTCCCTCCCTCCTCACAAGCCACACTGTCCCTGTTTTTCCTGGGGGACTGTCTTATAGGAATATTATTTTCCATAACCCCTCAGAAAGGGTGGGCTGGCAGGAGAGCTCTGGAGACCAGGACCACAGACATGCTGGGACATGTGGGGACTGAACTAAGTTGCTGGCTGTCAGGAACAGCAGCCACGGGCAGGCTTTGTCGGGACTGGGCACAAGTGATAAGGACCTTCATCTAGAGACAGACAGAACAACGCTGGAAGCAGCAGTGATAACAATGCGCACCAACTTGGAATGTACATAAACCACTTGTCCTCCAGTTCAGAGAGCTTTGCTCTAAGAACATCAGTGAGAGTGCCACCTTGCTTTCTGTCCCCAGATCGACTTTCCCAATTAATGCAACTACTTCTAAGAATAGATCTGTTTGCTCTAAATGCAATGATTCAGCTGTGGAGTGTAAATTGTTAATGTCTAATGAAAAACTCCCTGTATTCCTGTCAAGGAAGTTTTTGAGAAATTAAATTAAAATCTAGAGAAGAAAAATTCATGTTAAGAAGACAGATTAGTGCTTAGTACTGGGCAACTTGTTCTTGTTCCTGTGCACAATGGTTTGTGCTCTTACTCTTGTTTGATTAAAATTAATAACAAGTCAACCCCTTGCCGTAACCATGGCACCGGTTCCAGTCAGTAAGTCAAGAAAGAATAGTCAAGGTATAGGCCAATGGTTGGGACATTTCTAACTATTATTAAAAGTTAACTAAGCAGAAACAGCTCAAAGCAAAACGCGAACTGAAAGTACAAATTCTTGCTTATGCATAAGCCAAGATACATCCTTCTATTTTAATTGTAGCTACGTAATATTTTGTTTCTTTGAGTAATGATTCCTGTTTTGTAACCACAAAGTACTGTGAGCCTGCCAAAATGAAAAGTATGTATGATCAACTTCACAAGTAAAGATTGGGATCAGCACCTTCACTTTGGTGACTGTGTTGTTTCTCCACCCCCTCTTTCGCCGACTCCTCACCATCCGTTCGTCTCCTGAGACCCCCTGTTGGAGCTGGTCTCCGACAAGGGTCCAAGGGAGGAGGGTGTCAGGAGGGTCAGGGTCTGCAGGGTCAGGGTATCAGGTGGGAGCAGGTCCACTGCCCAAGCTCTTCAGGACCCTCCAGGACCAGGGCTGCACAGACCCATGCTGCCCTGTGGCATCCTGGGGCCTCACCAGAACCCCACCTGGCCCAGCCACCTTCCCGATGGAGGTTGTGTTTCTTTCTGGAACTTCTCTGCCCTGATGTCACCACCCAACTTCTGGAACCTTCCCACAGGAGTGGGGGGGGGGGATTCTGGAACCTTCCTGCCCAGAATTCACCACCCACCTCTGGAACCTTCCCACTGAGAAGTCACACCAGGCTTTCTTAACCTTCCAGGCCCAGATTGCTGTCTCCTCTGCGAATTCCTCCTGTCCCAATGTCCTCCCACTGGAGCCCTTTACCAGGTCCCTGTATTCCTCCTTCTGCATGTGGCCACACAGTTCCTCCCCAGCCTTCCTGACCAAGTTTGGAGACCAGGCTGTGCTCTGCTCCGAGCGGCTCCACCACGGACAGAGCAGCAGTTTCCAGGCTGTGCCTGAACCTGTGCTGCCCTGGTTATAGAGCAGCAGTTGGCCCTGAGCCCTCCATTCTGAGTTTCAGGCTGAGGGGCAATGACTCCACACCTTCTTTGTACAAGTCAACACCACCATCTGCCAGGCACAACCACCGTAAGGCACAGACGGATAAATCAGTCGTGCTGCTAGGAGCGACCGGGAACTTGTCTGCTCACCAGAAGCACAGGCGCACGCGCCTCGCAAACTCAGGTGGGAAAACTTAGGCCCGTGAGCTCCCCATGCAGCAACCCGCTCACTCGAGGTCCATCAGAAGAAGGGCACCCTGTGACTGGACACAATGGCACCCTGGCCCCATCCCCTGGTCACTCGTCACCAGCCTGGCCCAGAAAAATCACAAAGAACCTCCAAATCCCTGCCCTTGGGCTTTAGCAGAGTGCGGTTTCTCCTGCCGGTGATGAGCATGTCCAGGCTGACACCCCAAGCTGACCATCCAGGATGACGCTCTGACACTGCCGACCCCCAGGACCCTGGCTGGGAGGCACTGACCCACTCTTCTGTCTCATGGGGACTGCCATGAGACAGAAGAGTCCAGACCACAGAATGGTACGCACCTGTAAAACAATTCTAGGAGCTGGGGTTGTGGCTCAGCGGTAGAGCACTCACCTGGCACCGGTGAGGCACTGGGTTCAATCCTCAGCACCATATAAAAATAAAATAAGGTATCGTGTCCATCTACAACTGAAAAATATTTTTTAAAAAATTATTTAAAAACACAGTCTCCTTGTGCTACTGGAGTGTCTGCACCACAGGTGGAGGAAAGCAAGCACTGTGGGCAGGAGGAGGGGGAATCAAGACCTGTCCACCATCAGCCTGCATTTCATCTGGGAGGCCTCAGTGAGAAGAGGGGAAGGGACCTGTCCTGCACCACGGGGGATGGCCCCAGGACAGGGGACCCACTGCCTGCCAGCTCTTGCACTCACCTGGGTCAGGACACACTCTGGCTCTGATATCACCCCATCAAGTGCAGAGAGAAGCTGAGGGCAGACGGGTGGAGAGCAGGCGGGGCCCTGAGTTACTCCACCATGTGCAGAAAAGCAGTTTTCAGGCTGTGCCTGAGCCTTTAATCCTTCATTTTGCAAAGCAGCAGACTGCCATAAGCTACTTCATTTTGATAACAAGTGCAGCTAGACTACTCTACACCTTATTTGTACAACTGAGCGACCCTCACATGCCTGACACAATCATAAGGCACAAACTGATAAATGGAGACACCAGAGACAACCTACCAAAACACTCTATCTAGGGCTGGGGCTGGGGCTGAGTGGTAGAGCACTTGCCTTGCACGTGTGAAGGAATGGGTGTGATCCTCAGCACCACATAAAAATAGATAAAATGAAGATATTGTGTCCATCTACAACTAAAAACTATTTATTTTTTAAAAAGACTAAATCTGGAGCACATGGACACATGGACACCCAAGACTATATCAGGAACACCAGACACCAGGCAGCTTATCAACCTCACCAAATGTAATGTCCTCACCTGAGACCTGTAAAAGGAACCCCAGACCCCACTGGACACAGGATGGACACAGGATGGACACAGTGGCACCCTGCTCCCATCACCTCATCACTTGTCATGAACCTTGACCAGGACAAGGCTCCTCCATTCTTGTCCCTTGGGGCCGCATTCAGCACAGCCTAGATTCTCCTGCTGTGACACAGTGACTCCAAACTTACACCCCCAGGACACTCTGAAACTGCCTTAATTAAGACTGGAGTCGCCTCGCTAGGACGACCACCCGACGGCCCACGAGTCCGCGGAACTGCGAGGCTGTCAGTGGTGCAGCCTGTGAATTCGCGGTTACTCAGTGAAGTTCTGACACCCAGGAGGGACACTCCCTTCTGCCCCAGCAGCGGGCACGGCTGCCGGGCGCCCGGGGAAGGCAGTCCCAGCTGCCCACGGCGAAGGGGGCACTGGCAGC